CGATCACACCACGTTCCTCAGTTGACGAAAAGTCAGGGAAAGGACATGGGGTCCGCAAGGCGCGAGCTGCGCGAGACTCATAGTCGACCGCGTCCTCAACTCGGCACTGAAAGTATGCGCGGAGAGCGACGGTTGTGCTTATCGAGCCTAAGATATACATCTTCCGTTGCCGCGGACGCACGGTTCAGCATCGCACTGCGTGCGGAGGACGAAGTTGGGCTCTGCCCGTGCTCGCTGTCAGAACCAGCGAAACTTCGTGATTTTCGGCCCGTGGACACAGGGCTCATTGAGCAAGAAAGTTTTTAAATTCCAACAAATTGAGTTGCAGTGTCTAACGGAGTCGCGAGCCTTGTTGAGGCAATAATTTATTGGAACTGTAAATGCTCTCAATCTCAATGGGGGAGGGTGTAACGGGTTAACACGAACCCTGATAACAGGGGTGTGTGTGTCACAGGAGATGTGCATGATGTGACCACACCCAAACATGAATACGGTATGTGGCTAGGTAGCCAGTAGTTATGCATGTATTTAGATTTTTCTATATATTCAGTATATTTAGGAAAATTCAAACTTTTTAAATCAGGATAAAAAAACAATTTTGAATTTAAACCGAACAGTCAATTAGCCTTGGCAAGGCAATAATTACTCTTGGAGTAAGCAAATTGGGATTCGCTAACTCATACTGGGTTCTTGTAAAGAACGAAAGGTCGGTGACCTAAAGTTCGTTTCCTCAAGCGCTTAGCTACGGCAGCCCTGCTTTAAAATACGAAAGCGCAAATGCTAAGAGTACTCTAGTGGTACGGCTTTTCTGAAGCTGCTACGGTGAGTATTTTAACTAAAGCTGATTATGCCAATAAATCTTTCCACTATCCGTGTCATCTATTCAAGCCACTGTTCGTTGGTTAGCGGTGGCATGTGACTCCTGTGTACCTAAAACATTTCAACACAAGTCAGTTGTCGATAGCTCACCAGCAAGACTTCACAGATTTCATAGATAACAGTATAGATATTGCTCTTTTAGCGATAATGCGTGCTGGATCTATCGGAGACAATTACGTCACTTCAGCAAAAAGTAATTTTTACATCTGGCGGAAGCAGAATTCGGAGGTAAGTATTTCAGTTTAACATTTTAAATCTCTGATTCAAGAATGATGAGCGAGGATGCATTATTCATGGACAGACAGCGTTTCGTTCAAGTTGTTCAATGATATTACTAACCATTCGCATGTGTCCATGACTGCATTTGATCAAAACCGTCGACTACGTATACAATAGCGAGACGACGTACAAAATCTGGAAGTCGATGCATCCATTGTGTAGAGTTGTTTGTTTCGATGGACATGTGATGCGCGAAGTACACAACAGCACACAACATGAAGATTTCGTAGAAGATATAAGCGCCATATTGCTGTATAGACTAATGTTGAAGACGAAAAGAAATCG